TGGTCGGCAGGTCCTTGGCCGGAGAAATCCGAGCGCCAGCGGAGTTGCAGAGGATTCGTCGGAATCCAAGCGCCGGCAAGTCTTTGGCGCGCGGAAGAAGACAGCAGGCAATTTTTTATTTTTGTTTTAATTAATAAATAAATCATGTAATTACTATTTTGTCCTTCATTTAATTGGATTAATATGTGCCATTGGATTTTAATGAACTTCAATGGCTTAGATTCACTTAGTCACCTGATCTTGGCCCTTTTTCCGTGACACCCTAGGTCTTTTCATTGGTGTGAGAGGTGTCTTTTTATATGCTTTTCGAAAGAGGTATGTTTGGTCATCAGATGATTCCCTAATAGGATTTTTATTACTTGGAAATACTACTATATATTTCGTGTATGCATATTGCACATTAGGACCTTAAGGTTCCTTACCAAAACAACTTGTGCACGGGTTTATGACTACTAACTTCTTGGCATGATGCAAAAATCGATACTCCTACTTTCAACTGATATGTCCCTAATAAGTGGTTCTCTAGCTTATGCCAAAACATGTGCTACATAACATTTGATATCGAACCCAATAATATGATATGTAAATCCAATAGTATCCATCAAGAAGTTTTTTTTTCTTCATATTGGACATTCATTCCATTATCTCCATAATTGAATAAATTAAGCAACTAATCTTGCAAACTTCTGATTGTGGAAGCGGAGTAGTTATTTAGTTGATACATCAATTAAAATCATAAAATAACTAAATGATTTACATAGTGCATTGGTCCAATAACTACACAATTTGTATTTACTAATAAATCCTATCCTTTCGTGCAGAATTTTGTTGTGTTCACATCAAAAGTCCACACAAATTTCAATTATAGTATGCATCATATATAATTGATCAGATGGTCCAACTGGTCGTGCCAAATAATTAATTTACAACATGCATAAATTCTCTATTTTCAGAACCAGACTGGAAGTTGAATCGGAGAAGTTAGTGGTTTAGGGTTTAGTGGTTAACCGTTACAAAATCGTTGGTGAACTGTTGATAGAACCGTTATTGATATATAATAATTAAGACTTGTATATTACTTTAATTTACAAATGAAGTTATCAATTGACCGTAAACAATTCAAATTCATATCATCACCAAAATATCTAATAAATTATTCAAATCGTCTCACAAAAGAAATCATAATTTTTTCAAAGTGGATAACATAAAGTCAACAATAAGATTGGAAAATGAGAAGAGCAAGCATATATAAAATTAATAATTATGGTTTGATGGTCTTAGTTTTAACATTTTTTCTAAATTTTTTTGGTAAAAATAGTGAACCAATGGACCAGTTAAACCGTGGTGGTTCATATGATTTTATATTGAATCGTGAAAAACCGTTTGTTCTATCAATAACCGTCCAAACAATGAACCGGACCACTATCTCACCTACTGGCCCGACCGTTGATCCGGTTCGGTTCTTATAACAATGATAAACTTCAAGTTTACTCTTGCATTTGTTTCATTACCCTTTGCTTCAGAAAAAAAGATTAATCGTGAAAACAAGTTTACTATAATAGCAGATATTATGCAATAAAAGAATAAGGATACCAAAAGGGGAATCGTCTGAAATGGTATTGTAGTAACCGCCCATCCGAAATCGGGGGATCTGTCACGAGATGCTCGGAGTCGCAATCGATATTACTTGTGGTGTATCGAAAACCTTTTCGGTCCGATTCAACCTTAGGCTCGAAACCAGATTCTGGTCTGCGAAATTTAGGATTCTAGTATCGGGAGTACGATTACGCGTGAAGAAGTGTATTCACACCCCACAACGCCCCAAATGGGTACTACTTATATCGATAAGTTTTTTTAATGTTGGGTGTAATAATATTTGTGGGCTTATTTACGTATTTAATTAGGAGATTTGATTAATTACATATTTATTATTTAAAATTGTTAATTACGTATTTTGGAGTCCAATTGGACTGATGAGTTAAAATAGACTTGTTGGTGTACGATTAGATTATCTATCTATTGATGCAAAATCTCGATAGTAAAGAAAGTATTTTTTGTTAGTTGAACTCGAAACTATTGGTTGCCTACGTACCCGAGTAGTCGGGATCAAAGTCCACATAGTTCGTTAAAACTTTCATGTTTTAGTTATAACCACATTCTACTGATCATGTTTATCAAATAAAAGATTTTGTTTAGTTCTGAAATACGAATAAAGATCTTACGTATTTAAAAGGAAATGAATTGACCGATCTTAGAGATTATTTCGTGTATAAATTACGTATTAAGAATATTAAAGGATAAACCAATAAAAATATATGGGTTTGATAAATGGACGAATGATCATCACCTAGATCAACTTGCTCAACCACCTGTTCTAAGGAGCCCTGAATGCCAAAGGGCAAGTGTTCGAAGACCGATGAAACATTTTTCCTGGTTTTCGTTTTCAAACGGAGTCAAAGCGAGGGTAAAGTCGTAAATCAACCAAAAAGCGGTGGCAAGGCTGAGTAATACACGGAAAACCCTAGAAGTAATTTGGTCATCTTGAAAGTTATGCTATATAAACATTTTGGAGAAACTCTAGCCGCACCCGCTCTGATCTCTCTCGTTCTCTCCGCTCTTCCCCGACGAACAGAAACGAAGAAGGAAATGAAACCTTCTCTGATATGCCTCTTCCCTATCCTCTTCTACTCGATTTTTCTTCTTCCTCTCACCCTCTCTTCTTTTGCTCTCCTCCTTCGATCAAAACAAACCAGAGACACACAAACAAAATCGTTCTACGCCTCTCTTCCATCTCTCTCGAATCGCACCTATTATTCTGCCTCTTCTCCGACTAAACGAACCAATGACGGCGATCGACTACTCTTCACTTCACTGGGCTAATGTCTAGAAGAAAGGGAGCACCAAAAACTGAGGACGGCGGAGTTGAAGGTTGATGATGCCGGCAATGACGAAGACGTCGCCGCTGAGGTCAAAGGTGAGTCTTTTAGGGTTTTCATGTTATATTTAGGGTTAAATAGTGGTTTAGGGTTATGATTGTTTTTGTTCTTGATTTCTGGGTTTCTTGATTGGTTTAGTATTGGTGCAATAAGGGGGTTTACTGCTGGTAGAGGGTCTTCTATTTCCTCCTTGATAACCAAAAGCAGCGGAGTCTGCTTGGATAGATGCTACCATCTTTCCAATTTGAGTACCATAGATCTGTCTTTCATGCTGTAACATGCGTTGAAAGACCCTATTGATAGTTGGTAATTCCTCCCCAAATAGCACTTGAGCTCTAACAGCGGCATAGTTGTCGTTGAACCCACCCTAGAATTTAATCACATAGCTTGTTTCATGGTATTGAAGGACATGAGTCATGGCAGCACAATCATTGTGACTGGTGGGAGTGCAAGCACATGGTATTATGGGTTGATAATTCTCTAATTCGTCTCGAAGGGTGATAACATAGCCATAATACTCTGTAATGGTACGATTACCTTGGTGCATAGTAGATAGGGCTTCTTCAAGTTCAGCAATGCGAATCAAATCACCAGACCCATACCTTGTTTGAAGGCTAGACCATGCTTCAGCTGCTGCTTTACTGGAGAGAATGGTTTTTCGGATCTCTGATGAAGTTGCTTGCTGGATCGAAGAAAGCACCATGACGTTGTTGTGAATCCAGGCGCCATGACGTTGGTCTGTAACAGCTGGCTCAAGGATTGTGCCATTGATGAAGCCAACCTTGTTCTTGGCAGCAAGTGCATTGAGCATCGCCCTACTCCAGTATTTGTAGTTCGTGGCAATGAGCGTTTCAGCCACGAGAAGAGATCCAGGCTACTCGGAGCCATGGAGGAAGTAAGGGTCGGATAAAGGGTCAAGGGGAACGGGGGCAGGCGCATTTTGTGGCTCTGCCTGTTGATTTTGAGCGGCTTGGTCTGATACCATAACAACGAAGTTGGAGAGAAGATTGAACCCTAAAACCTGTGGATTTCATTACAATCTCTGGCCTTTATAGGCAGAGCATTACAGGAGGAAGACAAGCAACAATGGTGTTTGTTTGGAAGCTTGGAACGGAAACAAGACAAGCTTGGGTTAAAAGAAAACTACAACTGAAAAGGGAAACATGAAACAGTGGCGTTCCAAGGCGGGGTCTTCTCCTGAAGCAAGCCAAACGGTGGCGTTCCAACAAAGCTCCTTCTCCCGAGTTAAAACACTGTTGTACACGAATATGATAGTTGAAAATGAATTTTCTATCTGTCATATCGCCCGAACTTTTTACAAATTAAATATACCGGCCAATCTTTTCAATTTATAACTTTATGGCCTCAACTTTGGATCATTGTACATAATAGTAATTGTACCAATAGTAATATAATTTAGGATTAATATATTTGTATTGCCCGAACTTTTTACAAATTAAATATACTAGCCAATCTTTTCAATTTATAATTTCGTGGTCTCAACTATGCATCAAAGTTATGAAATTGGTCAAACCAGAGATTTAACCATTATCTTGAACGGTCAAACACATTGACTAACGATAAACGTGCCACGTCAATGTCAAGTCAGCACACACTACTTAATAAATTTGATTTTTTCCCACATATTATCATTTATCTTTTTTATTTTGAACAAAAAATGAACAAAAAAAAGTATTAAAAAAAAGAAAGATAAATGGTAATATGTGAAAAAAACCAAATTTTTAAGTGGTATGTGCTGACTTGACAGTGATGTGGCGCGTTTACCGTTAGTCAACGCATTTGAATATACAAGATAACGGTCAAATCTCTGGTTTGACCAGTTTCATAATTTTGATGCATAATTAAGGCCACAAATTATAAATAAAAAATATTGGTTAGAATGTTTAATTTGTAAAAAGTTCGAATCATACAAAAGTTGCAGTCATACAAATCATCAATCATCAATTATCAATTAGTTAAAAGCGTAAGTTTCTTTTACGATATTTACTGTTCTTTACGATATTATTGCCAAATCACATTTTTTTCGGAAACAACTGCAATTTTATTGGAAAACACTGTTCATTGGCTGATTAGCTGTGTGCGGGTGTAGGAAGCTACTCTCTACAACGCTTTTTCATTCCGCACTTTGCTGGTGTAGACGGTACTCAAAACCAACTCACGACGGCCGACTAAGATACTAATCCCCATGGTTCTATAGGAGAAGGAACCCAAAATTTTAGGAGTTGGATGCAAGGTCAAAAATGCTGGAGGTCTTAATCGAACAAATTGCAGAGGAAGAAGAGAACGAAAGAAAAGTCGGCAGATTTTATTGATTCAGTTGGGAAAGTTACAACGTCAATTACATAGCCAATATATATACAAAGGCTAAAACCCTCTTAAGTACACAAAGCAAAGAACCACTACATAACAGTCCTATTTCTAACTAAACATTGCAGATAGGTCCTCCGATGTTACCATCCTCGGACAACAAAAAATCAGATCTATGTTTTAATTAATTAACAGTAGGTTAATGAGAATTGGTAGTAATTAAGTTTCGGGGGATCGAGAATATCACTTAATATCTCTCTCTCTCTCTCTCATAGTTCAAACCCTTTCCCCTCTCTCTAAACTTTTCAGATCTGGAATTAAAGTGGGCTGCCGCCGGTGCTTTCAAGAGGCTGGTGGTAGCCCCTGTGGGTTTTTTTTTCCTTAGTTTCGTAAGTTCCTTCTGCTTTCCTTGCTTCCGTTTAGGAGCCTTTTCTCACCTTTTCTCCATGATGGGTGCTTCCTCTTCTTCCTCAAGTATGATCTTTTAGATCTACTCTGAGATGTTTTGTTGATCACAGAGGAGGTTGGGGTTTTCATCAATCTGCCTTCTCCTTCATGATTCTGTGCCCCCTCCTTGCTTTACCGCTGCGGCTTGGTGTTTCGGAGTTGTCTTGGGAATCCTATTGTGATCCTCCCATGGTTCTGCTTCATGAAGCTCGAAGGCGGAGATCTTTCAACATAGGCTCCTGGTCGTTTCCTGGTGCTTCCTTCGGTTGGTCAAGTTGAGTTCGTTTGTTTGGGGAGGTTCTTGAAGGCTGCTTTTGGATTCGTGTGCTGTCCGGAGGTTCTGTCTTCATCGGCTTGTCTCCTCGCCGGCGTTCTCTGTGATTCTCCGATGGGGCTGGCTGCTCTGTTTGGGACTTTTGGGTTGCTAGGGTTTTGTTTAGGCTATATATGTTGGGCCTTGGGTCTCTCATTGTATGGCTTGATGGCCCGTTTGTTTGTATCTTTTCTTGGGGTTTAGGCCCAAAATCTGTGTATCTCCTGGGTTCATTTTAATGAATTTCCAATGACCTTAAAAAAAAGGTAAATGAGAATTGGAAGGACAGAGAAAGGGATTCAAAATTGAACCCAAAACCAGAGGGAGAGTGATTGTCGGAATGCTTTTTGAAGACAGAAACTGGAAAAAAAAATTGAACGGGAAAAACTAAAAATAAGATCCGTACCAAAACTCAATTGAATATGAGTGGTCGAAATTAACACGCAGAGCTCGGTCGTCTACACCGGATTGAGCGATTTCCCATTAAAATTCTTTCAAAGACATATTGAGAAAGTGTATACACCCAGCTCTTTATCCCCTATGCTCTGCAATTGATATGGAAATCAATCCTCCTCCGACGCTCCCAAGTCAGACATGCAAAGAAGAAGGAAATAGCACTAACGGCATGTGGTGGAGGATCATCACCTCCGCAGCTCCGCTCCATTCACCTTATTCTCACTCTGGGGACTACGTATCTAACTAATGCAAGGGAAATTGGGTGGAAAAGGAGAATGGAAGACAAGTGGTTGAGGTATATTTGCTCCATGGTTGGGAGACTACACGTGCAAATCAAAGGTATATTTTTGTTAGTGGAAGCCAACTCTATTTGCCCTCTTGCTTAGGTCATTTGAATTAGATTAATCAACCCCTAGTGAAGACAAGAGATAAAGTAGGCCCACATACTCCATGTACTTCGTTAGTAAGTTGTCAAATCCGGTTCAACCCGTTTATCCGGTTGAGCAAGTAGGTTGAGATTTAATGATTTGATCACTTTGTCCCATGTTAGACTGAGTATAAAAAAAAAAGTTATTGTAGCATTCATACATTTATAAATTATATCAAATCGTATCTAACACATGGATAATAACATATCACATTAAACAAAAACAACAGTTCGTACTTGAATCCAATATATAGTAAAAATTCAAATACACTAATATAACATCATCAATATTCATATGATTAACTTAAAATTCTAAAGACATTGTTAGGCGAATGGAAAAACTAGAAGTAAAGCTTATTTCGCAAATCAAAAAGAAAAGTGACAGTGTGTGACCCAAGTTTGAGAACCTTGCGGTAGATCGACCCGCAAGTGTGGGGCGCCCATTTTTCTCATCTGGTCCGGGTCAACCACAGGTTGACAACCTTGGTTATTAGCTCTCACATTTACTGCCTAATGGATATTTGTGACTCTTCCTTCAAAACTTGGTATGCCGCACAAGTTCTGAAGTTACCGTGAGAATTTATTATTTTCTTATTTAAGAAATATTTAATTTTATTATAAAAATTTATTTAATTAATTTTTTAAAAGAGGACACCCCTACGTAAAATTCCTCGGTCCGCCACTGATCGTATATAATAAGAATTTCAAAATTAATGGTTCAGATCCGACTAGAAATTAACCCATCACTCTTTGTTTCTCGGCAGCAATATCGGCGCCAGGGAATATCTTCATCATCGGCGGAAAGATTCCTCTCAATTCCACTGAAAACAAAAACATATCTTGATTCGGGAAGATCCCACCTTAGCGAAAAATCGGAGGAGAAAATGGGACCGACGAACTTGCCAAAGTTGAAGCTATAAAGCTGTGATTAAACAATGTGAGGACTTAGGTTACCTAATTAGCAAACCTACCCTGACGCTCCCGCTTTAAATCGCCAAAACGTGATTTTGTCCAAGTTCGTGACTAATTCGCGAATTATATTCTGCAGGAGCGCGAATTCTATTCGGCAGATCATGAATCATCCACTTAACTCATACATGAGATTTATAAAAGGCAAAATATACTTGTGTAGCCAAAACTTTGACGGTTTGGCCAAATATAGCCACTTTTGACGAAATACCAAAAATAGCCACTTCCGTCCAATTATTTAACGTGTGAGTTAACGTGCTGATTGGACTAACGGATCATCCGACCTGACCATTTTTGTCCCGTACGAATGTCCCACGTGGATTAATTAAATAAAATAACAATAATTAAAATTTTAAATTCTCGCACGTCCACTCCTCCCTCACCGCCCGATACACCCAATTCCCAGATCTACTCTCCCGCCGCCGTCGCTGTTCTTCTCCGCGGAGTAGGTCGAAACCCTACCGATGAGGAGATTTAGTGAAAAACCTCCATAGTCAAATTCTGGTCGTGTTGGATTGCTCTCTCTGCCGCTGCCTTGGCGGTGGTGTTACGGTGGAGATACGCCATTTTCCTTTCTACTCCTTGCACCACCGTCAGCCTTGCGCTCCATCAGAAATGGATTTTGTCCTTTGTCCCTCTTCCTCCTGTAATTTGGGCGACAACACTAGTTAAAAAGACTCCATTTTTGTGATTGCTTTTGCAAATTTCTACAATAAGGGGGACTGAGAGTTTGAAATAGATAGGGAGCCCGAATGGGATTTTAGAGGTGGCCATTATCTGCAAATCTGGAGACGAGAAGCTTCTCATCCTGTGAAATGAAGTAAGCCAAAGGCGGCAACAAATTCGAATGCTTCTGATCACCGATGGAGAGTGGATCTGAGTCTCGTGACGAACAACGACATAATCGAAGCAGTATAGCGACGCCTTCAAATCTGCTCCAAATCCCCGCTGCAATCAAACCCTTTTTTTATAATGGTGATAAATTGCATAAAATAAAAAGAGAAACCAAATACAGAGCAACCAAGCTCGAGTTCATAAGAGAAAAAACAAAATAAAAAGTGGCAAAGGGGAAACAAGAAGACAACAGAAACACACCTACTAGTTGGACCCAGCCAACCCAACAGATGAAAAACAATCAAGCAGCAGAGGGTATAAAGAACCCAAACCCAAACAGCCCAGAAAGCAAAAACCCTGCCAACCAAACAAAGGAACCAAAAAGGAGTCGCCTCCCACCCATCAGTGACTAATCTTCTGCAGACAGCCTCGAAGCCATTGGAGTCCATCGCTCTTTCCCACCACTCCGAACGCCATAGTCCAATCAACGACAGTCCTAAAACTGATGCATGCCACATCCTTTGATTGAAGACGCTCTTGCCGAAACACACGCCGGTTCCTTTCCTTCCACACGTTCCAAGCCACATCATGAAGGATACAATAATGAAACCAACCTGCCATGTTAGAGGGCTGCGCAGTCGGCCAAATTCTGATGGTTTCCACAATGTCTCCCCTCCGAACATCACCAGAACTGGCGACGGACAGCAGCCTTCCCCAAACCTCCGCAACAAAAGCACACCCAGTAAACATATGATCAATGGTTTCTTCCTCGCATCCACACAGCTCACACCTGTTAGCAAGCTGCCAGCCCCTCCTCTTGAGGTTGTCTAATGTCAGGATCCGTCTATGGAAAACAAGCCACAAAAAAATGCAAACTTTAGGTGGGACCACCCCTTTCCAGATCGCATCAGCCGGGAAATTGCTTACTCCCTGCAAACTCCTTTCCGCTAAGCACCTATAAAGAGAACTAACAGAGAAAGAAGAGTCTGGGTTCGGACCCCAGACTACTCTGCAAGGTCCTTCTCGAATTAGAGCGACATCAACCGAATTGAGTAAATCAAAGAAAACAACTCTCTCTCTCTCTCTCTCTCTCTCAGCCCCTCCCCGCAAATCCCATAAAAATTGAATATTCCAACACACCCTATCACCTGAGAGTTCAGCAACGTCAGATAGTCGGGCTTCTTGGGACGCGGCAGCGGCAGTAACGCGAGGAAAAGAATCCGCAAGAACGACCCCAGGGATCCACTTGTCCTTCCAAAAGGAAACTCCAGCCCCTCCCCCCGGATCAATATATACATGATCCCAGACATCATAATGAACCTTTGCCACGTTGGCCCAAGTAGAACTCCTGACACCTCCCAATGAACGAGTGCAATACCACTCAGAGGTCCTGCTGTCATATTTAACCTCAATAAGCTTCCTCCACCAACTCTCCCTTTCCACCGCATACTTCCACACCCATTTCCCAAGCATTGCTCTGTTAAAACAATCAAAGTCCAGAATACCCAACCCACCACGACTAGTAGAAGTTTTACAAAGCTCCCAGCTGGCAAGGTGGAACTTCCTAGTCTCTTTAGCCCCATTCCATAGGAAGTTACGCTGAATCTGCTCAACGTGATTAATCACCGCCTTAGGTGCTCGAAATAAAGAACATAGGTATACCGTTTGACTGAACAAGCAAGACTTGATAAGAGTAATCCGAGCACCGAAGGAAAGACACCTGCTTGCCCAGCCAGCTAACCTCTGCTCACTCTTGCGAATCACTGGGTCCCAGATAGCAACCGCATTGGGTCTTTCTCCCAAAGGGAAACCCAAATATCTGCTCGGATCCTTGCTCCAGTTGCACCCAAATATGTCAGCAAAAAACTGAGGCTCCGACACATCTCCAATAACAAACATCATGGATTTCTCCAGATTAATACTCAGCCCAGTGATCGATTGGAAACACACAACCCCCGCAAGCAAGATAAGAACCTGACCCGGATCGGCATCGCAGAATACTAAAGTGTCATCTGTGAAAAGCAAATGAGACACCAGCCCTCTCGATTCCTGTTCATCCATATGAAAACCCGAAATCTTGTCGTTCCGAGATAGACTATCAATGATAAAAGAGAAAATGTCCATAACTAACGTGAAAAGCCCCGGAGAGAGAGAATCCCCTTGTCTCAATCCCTTGGTAGCCGGAAAAAAACCCCTGGATTCACTATTGATGAGAATAGAGATCATCGGAGAACACATGACACCCCGAATCCACTGCAATCAAATCCATAATCCCCAAATTCCCGCCGTCGCACTCTCCGCACACCATTTCCTCATCCTCACCACCAGCAAAGGAGAATCGAGCGCTAGTAGATCTCCGTCAACCGCTCGGCTAGAGGAACCTCGCCGCCGGGACGAGATCTGTTCATCGTTGGTGCCCATAAATCAGTTCTTCTGGCTGGAGGTTGAAGTTGATGATTGTGGGAGTTGGGTGAATGAAAGGGAGAGATATAGAGAGAGGTTGGAGCAGATTGGAGAAGGAGACGAACAGATGTGGGAGAGAGGGTTTGTTGGGAAAAGATGAAATCAGTGAAAAGAATAAGAGAATAAAATAAAAAAAATGATTTACTAAAAAATTAATTTTTTAATATGACGTGGCATTTATTTGTTATTGGATGTTGAGATGGAAATGAAAGAGACGGTGAGTTGGCAGCCAGGTAAGCGTGCCGTTAGTTTGATTAAAGGTGTCACTGACGCCGTTAAAATATGTAATGAAAATGGCTATATTTGTCTGAAACTTTCCAAATTTTGGCTATATTTGGTATTTCGCCAAAAGTGGCTATTATTGTCACCAATGCAGTCAAAATCGCGTTTTAAAACTTAAAAACTTACGATTTTACGCTTTTAGGTCACCAAAACGCTTTCGTTTCTAAATAAAATCGTTAGTGCATAAAATCGGACAAAATTACGTTTTAAAGCTTAAAATCTTACGCGTTTACGCTTCTAGTTCACCATAACCCTTAACGCTTTTAGTTCACTAAATGGGTATTCTTTTCAAGAAATTAATTACAAAAAGTATATTTTAAAGGTAAATCACCAACAATATGATACATTTGAGATTAAAAGATACATACCAGGTACTTGGATGCATTCTCATCTTCAATACAATAATCTAATTCACCAGCTAGGTCATTCTCAAATTCTAGTATAGAGGGGAATGTGGCTTATTATTAAGATTATTTTATGTTTACGAACTTATTGTTAAGATGCTATAAGTTGGTCTACTTTAGACATAAATTGAAGGTATTTATTAACTTATCTAAATTCCTAGCACTCATATTTTTACATAGTCTGTGTCATACTTAACAACCTTTTAGTTATTTTACAGCACACGGTAAAAACTTACGCTTTTACGCTTTGATTCTATGCTTTACGATTTTACCCATTTTCCGCTTCTAGGTAGAATCGCGCTTTTGACTGCATTGATTGTCACAAACGTGAAAGTTTTGGCTACACAGTTGAATTTTACCTTTCTAAAACACAGAAAGCTGGGGGTTTTAGTTGGACTTGAAGGCTCTGTTTCTGTAGAAGTTCATGGATCTTATTCACAAAAGTTTCATTGGTAAGATTTGGAAAGTGAGATCAATAAAACCAGAAACAAAATATATAGATGATAGAAAGCAAGGAGTTGGAGTAAAGACTTAGGTAACTAATTCGTGGAGCGAGAGCGGGAATAGGAGCGGGAGCGGAAGCGTGAGAGCGTCAATTTTAGAAGAATTTAATACTGAGAGTGTGAAGAGAGTGTCATTCTTATATTAATTTTAATTACGATGTAAACTTTATTAATAGATAGTATTAGATAAAATTATTAATGGATAGTATTAAATAAAATTATTAAAATATAATTGAGAATTAAACAAAGGAAGAAGGAATTAAAATAGAATTTTACGATGACATACCTTCTTCCAAGCTTTAAAGACTTGCTTCAACTTTGGTTTTGGAGGATGCCTCAATTGCTATTCCTCATGTATTGCAACCATCACAATCTCTATCGCAACCATCATAATCGCTTACAAGTGACACAATATACTCAAACACGATTCTATGAGTAAATTAAGAACAACTGTTATTCCTATTTGTTATTCAGTTACAAATATTTTGAGGCAGAGGATTCATACTTTTTTCAAAAATATTGTTCTGTTAATCATTATTTCAAAATCTGCAGGTATTTTGAGGCAAAAAAAGATTTTTCGATGATTCTTGGCGACAGTTTGCATCCCAATGAGTTTTATCGTTTTCGTCAGACGTTAAGAGGATGCGATTTGATCGCGATCAGGAGCTGTCGAGAAAATGCACCGAAAGCCGGTATTCCCAGTGGGAGAGCTTCCGACTCCAATCGAGGAGATAGAGGGAGATGGGTTGCAGAGTTCGAGGCCAATTCAAGAATGGCTGGATGGGCAAAAACAGGGTTCTTTTGGGTTGCAGAGTTCGAGTCAAGGCCATGGAGATGAAAGAGTTGTTTGGTGATATGGTTTCATGCTTTGTTGAGATGAAAGAGCCATGCTTTGTTTTAGAGGATATCTTATCATTTAGATTTATGTCGACTTAAAAGATTTGTCGATCTTATATGAAATGGAATTGACGGGCAAGAGAACGGGCATGTGGCTGAGTATATTCAAAAACCACTTTGTTAAGAGATTTCCAGATTCTCCAGAAAATGTGGGTTTGGAAGTTTACTGAAAACATAACATTGTCGCCACCATATACTAAAGTTCAAAATTTGGGCGGAAGCAAGCAAATCACTTAATCCCACTAAAAGTCCATAGCATGATGACAAGAGGGCAATGAAAGAACAAATGTTCAATAATTTCTTGATATTCCCAACAATCTAGATATTTGAGAAAGCAATTTACTTCATGAAATTGAGGAGCCACCATAGTTTGCAATATCGTTTAACATAATACAAATACAATTTAAAATAATACAAATCATTCTTAGTGGAAAGCTATATCCGCTAATCACCCACTCTTCAACTTTGTCGTGATTTATTAACCCTAATTAATTTTCTAAAAAATATTTTGTCATACCAAGTGGCAAGAAACCAAAAATTGAGTTTTAGAATTCACATTCTACTGCCGATGGGCCTCAAATTAAAATGAATTGAAGAAAATGTCATCAATTCTAATAAATTGAGCTAATGGCGCATAAAGTTAATTGTTGGCTAAACACAAAAGGAATCAGAATTAATTATTAATTAATGACGTTTTTAAGCACAGTCCGAAATAATGGGCGTCTTTCGATCTGACGAGTAAATGCTCATAAAATTCCAACGGATGAAGCTTTTCCGATGAGGATGAAGTTTGCGCCGCTGATACTTTGATAGCAAGAAATTAATCCTGAAAATCATAAATTAATTCTTTCTATCCTATAATTTGAGATATAAACCAACCATAAAGGTCGTAGAGCGCCATAAAAGGATCGCTTTAGTGACTCATTAATCACTTGTAACGGATCATTAAAGGCCCAATAACATCAAATAACATAACTGATGTATTAAAATCAAATTGGATGAAACGGACCAATGGGCCATTAATTGGTTCTTTACTTCGCCCGAGGAAAATAAATTGCAGGGACCGCCGGACCAACAGAGTCGCCGGAGGCAAGTGTTTCCAGCTTTATCGCCACCGCCGCCTCCGGAACCAGTATTCTCCGCCGCGGAGGCCTTCCTCTTCTTCGCGGTAGCAGCGTAGCTCCCTCTTCCTTCCTTCCACAAAAAGTTGAAAACTCAAAATTTGTCTCCTTATTTCTCTTTTGATTAACCAAATTTTCCCACTTCTTTCTTTTCACACAAATCAAAACCACCAAAATTCCCACTTGTTTCTTTTCTTAATTCTTCTTTAACTTTTGTCTTTTCTAAACCGTACCCTCTCTACTCCACCTTCATTCATTTCATTTCCTTTGCGTTTTCTAATTCTACTTTACCTTTTGTCTTTTCTAAACCATACCCTCTCTACTCCACCTTCATTCATTTCATTTCCTTTCTTCCCTTTCCTCCTGCGAATCATTCATGCGGGCCGATGAGCTCAACCCCAATCCCTCTTTCTAACGTCAATCCCTCCCCTGTCGATTCTTTAGCAGTGATATCAAAGGTTAATCCGATTTGTGAGATTTGAATTAACCTTCAATTTTCTGGTTTCACTGGACTAATAGCGTGATGCAAGTTCAACAGCTTACCAATTCCTTCGCCATTTTTTAGACTTGCAGTTGCATGGCGACAATATTGTTTTTGCACAATGTTCTGTATCCTGCCTTTTTCCATATCATTGTACAGAACAGTAGTGTCTCTAGTGCGGCACAGTTCGCAGCCTAGGTTTCATCCCACAAATTGAGCTGGAGAAACAACTATGAGGCCTTCTTTGTAAGTAGGCCAATCTTCCAACACATTCATGATCACCAATCTGTGCCCCTTTAATTTCCACCACCTTGCACGAGTGTGTGTCAATTCCAATGGAAATGAGGTTTCAAACAATCTACAAATGCGTTTCTATATATTTTCCTTACATTCCTTTATTATGATTAATTTTTTAGCTCTTGCGTCCAAATATAGACAAACCTAGATGCGTGTAAAATAACTAGTTCTTTAATTTTGGTAACTTGAATCGTTATGAGGTTCACAAAATTTAATTATTTCATATAGTCTTTTCATTAGTTAGATTTTGTCAAGTGAAAATCAACATATTAACAGGGATTTCACCGTACCATATGCATAATTATCAAATGATTTTAGTATAAAGAACTGTCAAGGATTCGACACTGACCCGTTGATGTCATGCTAAAAACATATTCGTTCTAATAATTGGTCAAGTTATTACGAAAAAACTAATAATGATCACATCCATAGGTATTATTAAAATTACAAATTGGTTACTGTTCCATAAGAGTTTTACTAATATGTTCTGCTGTCATTTTCTTTTCTAACCTACCAATATTTATTCATTAACGTGTGGCTATGTAGTGGACAACTAATACGGTGTAGCTTTGATTTTGTTCTCCATCATTCTTCTCGATTTTCATCCGCCGCTCTTCTAAAGCTTCCTTCTTTTCCCTCCTCCAATCAAGAACATGATGAAAATTGAAACCCTCGCTTCCTGCCTTCTTGCCAAATGATGTTTCCTCCTTTTATTCTCTTCTCCACTGATAAAATATTTTGTATTTCCTCCTTTGTCGTCGATCAAATTGGGGGAAACCCCAATCAGAAAAGAATGAACTTGAGGGTGAGCTTTTCCTACCTAAATCGCCAAAACCAGTGACAGAGAATCACTTATCCGAAAACTGAAAAGTGCACCCAATCTAATCCTCCAATATGATTCCCTTGCTGCATGTTATCCTCTGATTTAGATCCGCCCATGAAAGATGATTATGAATCGACACGCAGAGCGATCGATCACTCTTATTCTACTTCATCGAGATCATTTTTCTTCCAATCTCCTGAGAAGTAGACGTGATCGAGATGGGACCGATCATGAATAGGAACGTTTTTCGAAGAGT